GGTGGCAGATTGCCCAGTGGGACATCTGCTGGGGGCCACCATGGTCACTGGGAGGATGAGGCTGGGTGCTGTGTGCTCAGGCGCCTTCCCTGCTGCTGAGGCCCTTTGGGATGATTAACCCCGAAGAACGGGATGCTTCACCCCGAACGGGATGCTCCTGCCTGCTGCAGAGGGAGCTGGGAAGTTCCCTGGGTTTCTCCTCCACTGGAAGCTGTGCTCTCCAGCCTGGGTCACCCGCGCCTGGCCCGGTGCCTGGCTTCTTCCTTGGGCTGAAGCCCGAGGAGCTGTGTTTGGATGAATGGGGAGACACAGGGTCACAGAGTTGAAAGATGCTGAAGCCGGCGGCACGTGTCCGGAGCCGCGGCCACCGCTGTGCGCAGCTGCTGGGCTGGGGGCCAGGGCTGCAAGTGCCGGGGCTGTGGTAGGAGCAACCTGCTGAGGAAGTGGGACTCGGGCCCATCATCTTCTCAATGGCTGTTCCCTTCCTTCCCCTGCAGAGCTCCCGGAGGATTGTCACCAGCTTTTCCTGGCTGGGCAGCAGAGCAGCGGCGTTTTCCAAGTGCAGCCTGCAGGGTCCCAGCCCTTCAAGGTCTACTGTGACATGACTGCAGGTAAAGCAGTGGACACGTCCCACAGCCCTTTGTGTGGTGGCCTTGTAAAGGATAACCCCAAATGACTGTGTTTTCCCTGCTGCAGAAGGTGGCTGGACAGTGATCCAGAGGCGCACAGATGGCTCTGTGGACTTTGACCAGCTTTGGGATGCCTACAAGAATGGCTTTGGAGATCTCCGTGGTAGGTGGATGGTGGTGTCTATCTTACTGTGGGATAAGTGATTTCTTGGGCCTAAATTATTCCCTGGTGGTGGCCCCTGAAGATCTCTATGTGCCACAACACAATGCCGGGCTAAGAAGGGGGGACACTGCTTGCAGGCCAAGAGTCCTTGGTCTTCCTGACTTGTCCTGCAGGGGCCAGACAGTGATTCAAATGCTGCAGTGTCCTGGATTGTCCCTCTTTGTCTCTGGAGCCTGTTCACGTGTGTGCATGGCACGTTTGTGTCCCCATACCCACTGCAATGTGTCTCGTTTTAGGCGACTTCTGGTTGGGCCTGGAGAAGATACATCGCCTCGTCCAAGAGGGAAGATACAATCTCCTGATTGAGCTGGAAGACTGGGAGGGCAATTCCCAGGTGGTTCAGTTTGTGTTCAGCCTCGGTGGTGAGAGCACAGCCTACATGCTCAACCTGCTGGGGCCTCTGTCTGGAGAGCTGGAAAACGCCATCGGGGACTTCAGGCAGCTGCCGTTCTCCACTCGGGATCGGGACCACGACCTCAAAGCTGACACAAACTGCGCCAAACACCTCTCAGGTCAGTGCGAGCTCTTCCTCCCGTGGTGGGCACATTCCTTTCAGCCTTCCACTGTCTGCTGCTGGCCGTGAGAGGGACAGTGACCCTGTAGGTCCAGACCCCTGTGAGCCCTCAGGACCAGACCCCTTTGGTGTTGACCCTGGCTTGTCCCTGGGAAAGCTGCATCCTTGGGAGGGCTGTGCAGGGAACCGGGAGGGAAGCTGAAGCCGGGAGAGGTTCATGATTCAGTTCCCAGCCCAGATGCCTGTCTCTGTAAGAGTTTTCCTGGTTGCCACCTTGCTTGGAAACCTTTTGAAACAAAGAGCAGGCCAGTCCCCAGGCCTGAGATAGGGCTGCTGAAGGCTTTGAGGGGGTTCTGCATGCAGGAAAGAGCTGCAGGGATTTCCAGACACATCCTGAAGTCCTATAGGATCTGTGCAAAGGCTTCCCAACGCATGGGACTCCTCTTGTGAGGTCCCAAAGACCTGTCAAAAGTACCTGTCAAAAGTACCTGTAAGGTCCCAAAGACCTGTGGAAAACAGGGGCAGCAGCTGCCTTGAGCCTGGGTTTGTTCCTGCCTGGAAGTGCTGTGGGTTAAACCTGCCTCTGCATTGCCTTGGTAGGGGGCTGGTGGTTCAGCACATGTGGCCATGCCAACCTCAACGGGAAGTATTTCCGCTCCATCCCGCGCCAGAGGCATGAGCGTAAGCAGGGAATCTTCTGGAAGACATGGAAGGGCAGGGACTACCCGCTGAAGTCAACCACCATGAAAATCCAACCTGCAGCGCTGGAAGCAGAGCCCTAAAGCTGCCACTTGAGACTTTTGACCTTCTCTGCAGAGCAGACTTGAGCTCCATCACTTGGTGTTTACAACAAACAAACCCGTCCTCCCCAGGCAAGTCCCCTGAGGAGTGTTTCTCTTGGTTAACAGCCCTTCAGTGGCACAACACAGCTCCTGGCTAGAAGTAAAACAGCTCCATGTTGCTGAAACCCCTGGATGGGAGCTCCCAAACCAGAAGGGGAGCCACCAGCAGGGAGATCCACCTCCAGAGCATGCACAAGGGTCTTCCAACCTGCTGTGGCAATCTGTCTGGTGCTTTCTGCCCTGTCTGAACACTTCTGTGCTGGTTTTGATGGGCTGGGGGGGAAGGGGAGTGCCTGAAGTGTTTTACTACCCTGGACCCAAGCATTGGGCATGGGGCCTTGCTGAGTCTTAAGCTCTGCCTGGAGCCTACCTTATTGCTGGAGGGGATTAGGACAGCACAGGTACGAAGCAGTGATGGTCCCTGGGCAGAACCAGCCTTGCTGTGGGCTGTAAACCCCTTGAAGCTTGGGGAGCTGCCTTCTCACAACAGACTCCCCATACTTCGCAGAGTGAGTAGCACCATCCCATATGTATGTCCCAAAACTTGCTCTAACAGGCCAGAGGACAACAGGGTTTCTCTGCAAGAGCTGCACCAACCTTGGGTACATACCCTGATGTCACCTCTGCCTTTGGGGTGGGTGTCTGGGGAGAGGTGGGCAACAAGATGCTGTCTTGGGGCTTCCCAAGCATCCCACCCTATTGAAGTCATATTGACTATGATGCTAGAGCTCCTAGCTGCTAAATATTGTAAATAGGCATTTGTAGGATGTTGTATCTTGTCAATGGATTTCCTGTTCTCTAATTTGTTTCCATATTTAAATGCAGTGTTAATAACAACGTGGTGTAATTTATAAGTGTTCATGTTGGAACAACCCAACCAAGTAGTTTGTGTATTTTAAACTTGTTTTTTTGTACTAAAATATCTTTTCTGAAGATGTCTTTTAATAAAAACAAGCCTGTACCTGTTCTGCCTGTGGTAGCTCTTCCCTGGGAGGGTGCTGAGGCGCTGGCACAGGGTGCCCAGAGAAGCTGTGGCTGCCCCATCCCTGGCAGTGTTCAAGGCCAGGTTGGACACAGGGGCTTGGAGCAACCTGCTCTAGTGGAAGGGGTCCCTGCTTGTGGCAGGAAGTTGGAGCTGGAGGAGCTTTAAGGTCCTTTCAACCCAAACCCTTCTATTATTCTATTCTATGATCTGCCACTAGCAGATGGATGGGAGGTATGTGAGGAAACTTGATTTGCTGGGGGTTCAACCTGAGCTGTGCTTCCTCCTGGCCTCAAGCCTCAACTTCCAACTGTTGCCTTATGGAGCTCTCTCAAGATAAGTCCCTGCTGTAGCCCCCAGCAGCAGTTCTTATTCTGTTACAAGTGTATGGACTTCCCGAGGGAAAATAAGTTTGGAAAGCAGGCCCTGGGGCAGCAAGTTCACAGTGTCAATGAGCTGCTCTCCCTGAGGGCAGACCTTTGCACCAGGGCCATTCTTCTTGTAGCTGGCTGGAAAACTCTTTGTGAACTCCTTGAACAAGAGCAGAAGCTGCTGTTTCAAGTCAGAGCTGATCAGGACAAGCCCCAAAAAGTAATAGTCATTTACCTGCTCGTACACATACATAGTCAGCTCCAAAAGCACTTGCTGCAACTTCTGGAGGATGGTTACATACACAGGAATGAAATGAGCTGGGGAGGGAGTAATCCTTGAAGATGGTGGTGGAGGTAAGTTCCAGCTGTGCTCATGGTCCCAGACATGATGCTGGAGCTGAAGAAAAGAGCAAGCTGACCAAGGAAGTGGGACAAAAATTGCTTACTGTAGAAAGAAGAGACAAGAGGCTGCTCTAGACCCCTACAGCAGCTGTATAAATACCTAAACGTGGCCTCAGCTCCTGTGTCTCCTCCTCCCCTGGGAACAAACCTGGGGTTAATGATAGCCCCAAGCACAATCGCACAAACAGCCCATTATACCCAGCTCTGCACTATCTGTGTGCTTACTCTTGGATTCAGGAATACATTTTTAATGTTCCATTTGCTTAATTCAAAGCTTGTTTGGTCCCTGGGTGCAGGAGCAGATACGGGAGTTCTGTGGTTTAGTCTTAATGCTGAAGCGATGAGACTAACGTGGGGTTTGTGCATCAGATGGAAACCGGGGAGGGAGCTGTGCCATGTTTATTCATGGCCAGAGGTTTATGTTGCTCCCCAGTTTTTGGGGAAGAGAAGGTTCGGGAGGGGATCTTACTACTTTATACAACTACCTGAAAGGAGGATGGAGCCAGGAGGGGGCTGGTCTCTGCTCCCAAGGACAAGAGGAAACCTTAAAGCTCCTCCAGCTCCAGCCCCCTGCTATAGGCAGGGACACCTTTCACTAGAGCAGGTTGCTCCAAGCCCCTGTGTCCAACGTGGCCTTGAAGAAGCCAGTTCTGAGTCTCTGTTTTCATCTGAAATCCTCCTGAACTCCTCCAGCTCCTTCTTTAACAACGACTTCAGCTACAGCTCGTAACATCTGGGAGTCCCATAAAGGATGTGGCAGCTCCCTCCAGTGACAGCGAGAGAAACGGCACCGAGCGCTGCCCAAGGCATTCCCACCCTTCCCTGGGTTACCGAGGGCTGGTGCTCCCCAAACCAGGCTGCGCCAACCCGCGGCCCCACAGCAGCTCCGGCCACCACGGTCCGCGCAGGGACCGAGCCCTCCCTCCTAAACCTCTCCTCAGCGGCTGCTCATTCCGCACGCTCCCGGGGCTCTGTCGGTGCCAGCTGAGGTCTCTGGGGTCTGGCCGTGCTGGGACAGGGCTTTGTGGGACCAGAAGTGCTGCGGGACAGCCTGGGGCTGTGGTCTGATGGGGTGAGACAGGGCTGGTGTGTGTGGAGCTCAGACTCATCAGTAGGAGATTGAGCTGCAGGTGATTCGGATCTGGGGTTCTCTCTGAGCATCATTAAATCAAGATCAAGGTCATTGAATCAACGTCTCAGCTCCCAAGGAACAAGGGATGGGACAAGAGGAAACAGCCTCAAGCTGCCCCAGGGCAGGTTTAGGTGGAGCTGAGGAACAATTCCTTGCCCAGAGGGTGCTCAGGCATTGGAACAGGCTGCCCAGGGCAGGGCTGGAGTCACC